CTGGACAACTATCCTCAACAGAGGGTCGCCGTTAATTGTCATAGGTGTGTGTACTTTGTGTAAACTCGACCACCGCAACGCCTATTTGCCAATCGAGCCCTCTGATTGGTTTGTGAATGGCCAATGGTTATCCATTTTTAGGGGAGCGAGTATGTCCGATTTAGTCCCTAGACTCCTTGATCCGGCCCTAGCCGCCAACCCTCCTTGCATGTTTGTGTTTCGGTCGCTTTAAACCTGCTACTAAGATTATCGCTTGTTTTGGGTAGCCCCTAGTCAGATGTTGTCAGACAGCCTCAAGTGATCAGACCTCCTACTATCCCAGATCTTCTGTCTAATAGGGGGCGCAGCTTACGCTAGTATTATCTATGCATGGTAACATGGTATTTCCTATACTGTATACCATCGTCTATATGTTTTTCGCCTGAGGTCACTCTGCAATACCCCCGGGTTTTCCCTATCAGTGGTTTGGCCAGGTCATTTGTCTTTGCGCGGGGGGGGGCTGCATACCAGCAGATGCGTGCAGATTTGCCATAGGTGTGTTGTAATAGCACAGCGACTGTATCCTATAAATACTGCAACTCCCTGTGTATGAACTACCCGTTTTTGCGCTTGTCTCTGGTGACGGATCCGTGACAGAATCCGAAACGTCCGATGAATAAAGTTCCTGTCAGAGTGATCACATCTGCTTCTTCTCAAATGCTTCCTGGGAATTTATTTTTTACTTGTATAGTTTTTTTTGTTCCGCCAAAACAAGCTGTACTGAACCAAAATGGAGGACAGGTTGGCTCACGATACACGTTACGCAGGTTGTGCAGCTTCATCACGAACCCGCAACTGGTGTCATTCATCGAAGGATATGGTGGCACGCCGCGTCAGTCACTGGCCAAATCTCATCACCGGCTGGTTGACTGTTTCGAACATTCAGCTGGCGCATGGGAGAGGGAAGTGAGGTCGACCTTGGAGAATCCATCTTATGCGATAGATCGGCACATTCCTCCTTATAGTTGCCTGATGCGCTTCCTCATCATTGATTTGCTCTAAGAGTCGACTAGGTGGGATGGTGAGGTCCACATTGGGGCATTTATCCGTGCCAAAAAATCGGCGCATTACTCACTACAATAGCTCTGACGTGCATAAATCTTTCACGAGTCCTGATTTCGAAGCTTGCCAGCAGGCGAATAAGTATTTTCTCATTTTGGAGACTCAGAGACTACAATGTCTCCTTCCTGCTGTAGTATTTAAACCGCCCTCGTTCATTTGATGGCCTGGTACGCGCTATTGAAACCTTGGCGGCCACCGTTGTCGCAACCGGTTGTCTTGGCACTGTTATGCCTTCAAAAAGTAGTGGATGATGGATATGCTAGTGCGGTAGGCAGGCGGAAAAATTACGTTTTTATACCAGATGGGAAAAAGTCACCGGAGACGCTGACGAACCCACTGGTGAGCCACACTCCTCGCAGCAGTGTCATGCAGCGGCATAAGCCGGAGAAAAGACGCGTGTCTAGGCTCTCAGCCAGTACCTGCGCTGTCATTATGATATATCCTGCCTATTAGGTCTGTCTCATTTTAAACTAGTTTGTGTGCCAGCCACCAATGCTACACCCACTCCGCGGGGCGCGCGTTAACGTCTTGAAGTTGAAGATTTTGGTAATTGACCCTACTTAAAATTTGTAAGTAGACGATTATTCCCGTGGTAAACATTCACTTGCTGT